ACACCCTCCAGAGGCTACCTCAGCCCGGTAGGAAGGAGAAAGCTGCCTTCGGAAGTTGAAAGTTTCCAAGAAGAGATTGGACTGCCCTCTGTCAGAAATGATGGAGGAGTGTCCTGCTTCGGGGTTGGACTAGATGACCTACAAGGTCCCTTCCAACTCCTGTTCATCTGAGATGGGGAAGGCAGATGCGGCTCAGCCCCCAACGGAGCCACCCTCCTTTTGCCCCCATCTCCAGGCTGAACTGCCCCATGGAGCTAGAGCTACCGGAAGGAGGCGCGAGGTGTCAGGGAAACTGAGGTGACCCAGAGTGAGATTGGGCCTTCTTTTAACACAAGGCTTTGGATTTAATTTGGGGAGGGGGGAGAGTCCTTTTGCAGATCTTGTTTCATAGAATAACAGAGTTGAAGGTCATCTAGTCCAAGGCTCAAGCAGGAGAGTCTATTCCAAATATTAGCCTCTACCTAGGATCGAACTCACGGCCTCCTGATTGTGAGGTGAGAATTACACCTCTAAGCTTCCACCGGAGCTGCTAAAAATCTTGGAGCATTTCTGGCCTTGCTGGACCCTCACCCAAGCCGGCTTGAGGCCTTCCCCAAATATTCCAAGCTCTTCAGCCCTCCATGACTTAACCAAATCTCCTCGCCATCCAAGAATCAACCTGTTTTCCTCGTTTAACTTTGTTTTCCCCACCGGTTTCTCTTTTCTAATCCAAGTCCTTAGAGGTGGATTTCGATCCTAGGCAGAGGCTGATCTTTGGAATAGCCTCTCCTGCTCAAGCAGGGGGTTGGACTAGATGACCTCCAAAGGTCCCTTCCAACTCTTGTTATTCTACGTTCTAAGTCCGTTCTGTCGGCAAGGGTTCGATGTGTGTTGTGATACCCTCCCCCCCTATTTTATTTATTAATTAGATTTATATGCTGCCTTCAAGGAAATGGCTTCGCCCTTTGATTCGGTCACACCCATATACGTCTGGTCTTAAACAGGGAGAGTCGACAGCCAGAATAAAACAGGTAGTTTTTTTCTTTTCTTTTCTAAATAAACTTTATTCAATTCTGAAACAGTTTGAAAACATAGAAAAAAGAAAAATACATAATGATATCAACACCGAAGACATCATTTACATTTCTTAATCTTATTCTTATACTTAATTTCCTATTACATTACAATTATTACATATTACTTTTCCGATTCATTCACTGTTTCTTATTCCATATTTATACCACTTGTTTTATAATGTATTTTTATTAATTCCACATTCAGTATATATAACTTCATATCCTTTACTTAATTACAGTCCTATTCCCCCCCCCCCCCCCCGCTATTCTCAAACCATGCATACCAGGCATCCCAGACTGAATAGTATATCGATTCCTCTTTATCGTTTAATTTAAGGTCAGCCTGTCCATTTCTGCGCAGTCTAGTACAGTGGTCGCCAACCAGTGGGCCAGGGACCACTGGTGGTCCATGAAAAAATTTTGGTGGTCTGCAGAGAAATGTCACCCCCCAAAGCAATTAATCCAGGCTGCGCCACCCACATGGCCCACGGGAACACTATGCAAAGAAAGCAGCAAAAGTCTTTCTTTCTCTCCCCCAAACTCGGCCAGAAATGAGTCTTTGGGACTCTGCAAGGCCTCCTGCTCCAAGAGGCTGCGCCGGTGCCTCACAAAGACTCATTTCTGGCGGAGTTTGGGGGAGAGAAAGAAAGACTTCTGCTGCATCTGCTGCTTTCCTTGCATGAAGCCAAAAGTCTCTCTCCCCACCCCCCAGGAACGGAGCTGAAGACAGTATCCTGCGATCCCAAATAAAGAACGATCGATCGTTAGGAAAACGGGGTGGGGAATTTTCCTGCAGACTTTTGGGGGGATTTTCCCAGGGTCTCTGGTCCGCGGGAGTTTGGGGGTTCCCTGAGGTCCAAAAGGAAGGCAGCTGGGTGCAAGGACGCAGCATCGGTTCCGACTCGGTTCTTTCCTCTCTCCTCAACCACTACAGACAAGGGTGTCCCTTAGGCCCAGGAGACGGCTTACTGAAAAGGAACCGGCAAACGCCGGTTGGGGCTAATGATAGGTTAATCATTAGCCTGATAGCGGGCGAGGAATTCGAGGAGCCCTTGGGTGGAGAAGGGAGGGAACGGGGAGCAGAGCCAGTTGGAACTCATCCTGGCTGGACAAGCGCTTCCTGGCAGCCCCTTTCGAGCCATAAATCCCCAGAGGAGGGGAGGGAGAGCCAATTCGGCTCTGCTTGGCAGGTGGCACTCCGCGTGTTCCCCGAAGCAAATCCTTGGTCACTTATTTACTCCTCCTCCACCAGACACAGAGTGGAACTGGAGCACCTCGGCCCAGCCCCCCCACCCCCCCAAAAAGCAAGGGTGGGCAAGTCCCAGCCTCTCACCTGCACGCACAGGTAGCTGTAGCTTTTTGACACAGGGGTTGTTTGTGCTCCCTAAATCCTTGAATGTTCCCCTCCCGCAGGACAGGAGTAGTCATGCCCTGGTAATTCTCTCTCTTCCTTTTTCTCTCTCACACACATACCTCTTTCTCTCCCCCTCCCTCTCTCCCCTTCCCTCTCTCACACACACCTCTCCCCGTCCCTCCCTCCCTCTCTCTTTGATCTCGCTCTCATCTCTCTCTCACACACACACATCTCCCTCTCCCTTCCTCCCTTCCTCCCTTCCTCTCTCCCTCCCTCTTTCATCTCTCTCTCATCACTCTCTCTCACACACACACATCTCCCTCTCCCTTTCTCCCTTCCTCCCTTCCTCTCTCCCTCCCTCTTTCATCTCTTTCTCATCACTCTCTCTCACACACACACCTCTCCCCCTTCCTCTCTCCCTCCCTCCATCTCTGTCTCATCTCTCTCACACACACACATCTGTCTCCCTCTCTTCTCTCTCTCAGCTGTCTGTCTGTCTTCTCTATGTGTGTGTGTGTGTGTGTCTGTCTGTCTGTCTGTCTCTCTGTGTCTGTCTGCCTGTCTCTCTCTCTCACACACACACACCCCTTTCTCTCCCTCTCCCTCTCTCCCCCTCCCTCCCTCCCCCTCCCTCCCTCCCTCCCCCTAAAAGGGCTGCCTCTCTGCCTGGGGTGCTGATGAGGGCGAGGGACCCAGCCAAGCCAGCCCTCTCTTGCTGCGTTAAATTGAAAATATTCGTCAATGATCAACCTCTTCAGAGGAGGCCTGTAACTAGAGACACGAAGAAATGCAGATCATCCATGAAGCGTTTGGGGCAGTGGTGGGATTCAGTCTTTTTTTTACTACCGGTTCTGTGGGCCTGGCTTGATGGGCACGGTGTGGCTTGGTGGGCGTGGCAGGGGAAGGATATACTGCAAAATCCCCCTTCCCTCCCCACTAACCTGCTTTCTAGCTCCGTTCTCCTGGGCAGGGCAACCAAAGGAGACCCAGCCGATCAGCTGGGACTCGATGGGAGGCAGGGAATAGAAGGGGTTAGCGGGGCCAGTCAGAGGTGGGATTGGCCGGTTCTCCGAACGACTCAAAATTTCCACTACCGGTTCTCCAGAACTGGTCAGAACCGGCTGAATTACCACCTCTGGTTTTGGGGAATGGAAGGCCGGTGACTCGCTTGAAAGGAATCTAAAGGGATGGATCCATGTCTGCAGAATATGAAGCGCCGAACCGCAATTTCCTCATAATGGAATTTAAAGCCTTGCTTCTTCCCCCAAATCACAGCAGTGTGTGACTTTCTTTTGCCAGCAGAAAACCTAACCTTTTCTACAGTTTCGACCCTGCATTTTTATTTGGCCATGTTTATTGATTTATTCTTGCCACTTTTGTGGCAAAGCCAGCATGAAGCTCCTCCGTTTGGCTGATAGGACTGTGCTGCCTCCTAGCGATCGGAGAAAAAGCATATGCTGAAAAAAAGATTTACGGTTCAGGTTAATTCTGCAATTAGAAATTGGCCTTTTGCAGCGTGACTACTCAACACGAGGAGTCTAGGGCCGTCCTTTGGTCAGCTGCCGTGCATAAGAAAGTTGTGAAGTTGTGGAGTTACAGCGACACATTCTGTGCGGTCCGAAAATCCCACCTTAGCATCCCTCTCTTTTTCTGGCTTTTGGGGTTTGTCAGCATCTCCCTGAATACAAAAGGGATACTTTATAGTTTTTAGAAAAAAAGGGAAAAAGAGAAATTTGAAAACTGTTAGAGGGACATAAGACTTATCAAAGAAAGGAGCAACGTAGAACTGCAGAGAAATTTCCTGACAATTAGGACAATTAACCAGTGGAACAGCTTGTCTTCAGAAAGCATGCAAATGGCCAGCTATTTGCAAGGAATATAAACCCGTCTCTTCTCCACCATCTAGTCAGAGCTGAAGAAGCTTCTTGGACGAGAAGCAAAACGTCTTCAAAGAAAACAAGGAAGTCTTGGAAAAAATAAGCACCTTTGGGACAACTGATCTGGAGGAGTGAGAAGCTCTACAGGCTTATCTTTAGAAGTTGTAGGTGCTCCATCATTGGAGGTTTTTAAGAAGGGACTGGACAGCCACTTGACCGGAATGGTCGAGGGTCTCTTACTTTTGAGCAGGGGGTTGGACTAGAAGACCTCCAAGGTCCCCTTCCAACTCTGTTAATTTTGTGTTTGTCGCTCATTTGTTAGTGGGATCCTTTTAAAAATCACCGCGAGACCAAGCGTGCTAAAGTCAGGTTACCGACTGTAAAAAATAAATTACAACCTTCTCGTAGCAATTTTTAACCGTTTTATTTTAGCTCCTTTAGCCAAAACGTTCGGTATTTAACATTGAAGGAAGCAGCACCCCTTCCTTGCCTGCCTCAGAGGACAAAACGCCTCGGCCGGTTCAAGCCAGCTTCTGCATTGTCCACCCTCAGAATAATTGCATCTCCTTCGTTTGCATTCGGTCTCTGTGGCTTCGAGGGTCGTGGGAACCCCTGATAAGTGTCCACCTCTTCTGAAGAGGAAATCAAGGCCTCCCCTTTACCGAAAGCCTCTTTTGAGTCACGGTTACCCTGCTTCCATAAGCTTTGAGGCCTTCCATGGGTAGTTCCAATGCAAGACGTCTCCTTTGGTTGTTAGAAGCAGCCAGGCCTGGCGGAGACGCCTGGGAATTCCTGCCTTGAGGTTTTCTCAGTGGCTTTTTAGCCATGAAATCCAGTCTTGTCTCTGGGCCCTAAGGAGAAAAACAAACAAACAATCAGACAGTTCAAAGGAGATGTCCCCAGTGAGGAGGACATCAGCTCTCTCTGGCCCATCTGCTCTGCTCCGCTACTGTTCTGATCTAGGCTTCCTCAAAAGCACGAAGCCAACTCCTCATCCCGATAAACCCCTTTTATTTAGTTGACAGTGAATTCCTCTCCAGCAAAGTCCCCTGACCAACAGTCTTTCAAGAGATTTCACAATCACAGACCTTTATCAGGCTTGGAGAGTTGCCAGGCCGATATCTTTTAGACGCCACACTGTAGCAGACAATGCTTGGCAAGAATGCAGGAACAGATCTTCCCCCAAATGAAGTAATTGCCTCCTGCAAAACCCCACTCCCCTTTCGCTCCTCTTTTATACTCTAGGAGAGGGGGCCATTCACCGTCCACCTGTGGCTTTACTCCCAAGCCGATCCTTGTTCCTTAGATGTTCCCTTCTTCGGTCAGCTCTGTGCATGTGCACACTAGGAACAGGCTTCAGCTGCTCTTCTTCCCCACTGATCTCTGACTCCAAAGGCAGCTGATAACGGTCAGATGGCCCTGGCCCCCTCTCTGCCGCCAACGCAAAGCATTCGTCAGTGCCTTCCCCAGACTCCAGGACTGGCCCATGTTCCTCCCCAACCTCCTCACTGTCCGAGTCTGCCGCCAGCTCCACTGGCCATTGGTGGGCCACAACAGCTCTCAGGTGGGGGTGAGAAGGAAGAGAAGGATGGGGCTACCTCTGCAGGGGGGGGGGCACTATCCCTTCCTGCTGTAAAAGGACTTCTGGAGGGCACGTGGCATTGATGAAGTCATCTCCACAACAGCATAGAACTGGATGGCCACCCATTTCCTTTGTTTTGCTTTCACTTCCTTATGCCATTTTTATACCACTGGGGTTTCGCAGTAGTATCACATCCAGCCGAAACCAGATCTGAGCCGCTTAGCTTTTGGGGAGACCATCCAAGGATGGTTAAGCACTTCCACCCCTTGTGACACCAACTGCTAAGTTGCTCTAGAAGAGGAGTCGGCAACCTGTGGCTCTGGAGCCGCATGTGGCTCTTTCATCCCTCTGCTGCGGCTCCCTGTCCCTCAAAATACGCGCCACAACCGCCAAAGGGCAACACCCGCCGGTACGCGATTTATTAAGCTTTTCGGTAGGGATAAATTTTTTAAAAAAAGTTTCAGAAGAAAAACCGAATGTTTAATTCAACTACATGTGCTAGTTTTGTAGCCGCTCAAGAAATACTCAGGCATGTGAAGGGTTTTGTGGCTCCCGGCGTTTTCTTTTTTTATGTGGGAAACGGGTCCAAATGGCTCTTTTAAGTGTTTAAGATTGCCTACACCTGATCTAGAACGATCACCCCCACCAATCAGAGGGAGTCGTGTCCTGGCCAGCGCCTGTTGCAATCTGGAGTCCTCTGTGACCAAAGGCTACCTTACATCACGAGCATCTCTCATTTTACTGGAGAGGGAAACAACTCACTCGCTGCCTGCCTTGAGGACCAGGTCTCTGCTTTCATCTCTGTGATTCTGGGCCATGGAGAGGTAGAAGCTCCATTCTGGGAGTCCCAAGGATTTCGCTCTGAAAAGCTCGGCTTTGACGTGACCAGTCCAGGCGTAGTCCATCACCAAGAAGCGCCCGTCTCTGGAAGGAGGAGAAAGAGGGAGAGCATGCTGACCCAGCTCCCCAAACAGGACAAACCCTCTGTAGTTAAATAAATGTTCCCTTCTGTCCCAAGGACCGGCCTATTAATTTCCACTGCTCTCCTCTCCTCTGCCTTCTGCACATCCGCGCATCAGGCACTGGACCCAGCTGTTCCTCCTCTTCCTCATCAGCCACCTCCAGACCTGGGGGTTATTGACTCTCCATCTAAGGGCTGACGGATGGCCCAGGCTCGCTCTCTCTCTCTCTCTCTCTCTCTCTCTCTCTCTCTCTCTCTCTCTCCCTCTCTCTCTCCCTCCCTCCCTCTCTCTCCCTCCCTCTCCCTCTCCCCCATGCCGTCTCTTCCTCCTCTGATTCAACTGCTGGAGGGGCCCGTGGCCGACAGACCACAACAGGACATTTTAACCTCCGTGGCTCTTCCAAATCTCTTCCAACTGATGGATAGATTTCCCTGGAGTCCGGATTACTAGGCTGGGTGAGGGTCTTTTGAGGTGGAGGGGCACTTACTCCTTGAGGTGAGAGAGCAGCAGCAAGTCATTGAACAGGTGCAGATGGATGGACTTCATGCTGACCTGGGGCCGGTAGCCGAGTCCGGCCTCTTGGATTAGGACCTGCCGGAGCTCTCCTTCGTGAATTAGCCAGCGCCCCTGGCTGAAGTGAGGAAGAGGCTGGAGAAAGTAAGGATGGTGTCAGCCACCACGCCGGTCCCTCACTGCATCCCATGCCCCAATCACCATTCGTCTCAGCTTGAGACTTCCTTTCAACCAGGTGCAGAGATAACATGACCTTGACTTAGGAAAAGAGTGCTATTATGTCTAACCACATACGCTCCAAGAAATTCCCCCTTCCCATTTTCCCAGGCTCAAGAATGTGGCAGTGCTTTACAGCCCTCTCTAAGCGGTTTACAGAGTCAGCCTCTTGCCCCCAACAATCTGGGTTCTCATTTTACCGACCTTGGAAGGATGGAAGGCTGAGTCCACCTTGAGCCTGGTGGGATTTGAACTGCCAAATTGTAGGCAGCTGGCTGCAGTAGAAGCAGCTTGCAGTACTGCACTCTAACCTCTACGCCACCACGGCTCATTATGCCAGGTTGCAGTATTTCTATCCATAATTAGAATTATTATTGCAATCCATGATCACTTGGCGTGAAAGCTCAACTCACTTTGACCTTGGAGAAGTCCATCCGTTTTTCCAGCATCTCCAGCTCCTCTTTCTGTTTCACGGCTTGGACGTTCTTGTTGCATTGGGACACGATCTGAAAAAGGCAGCCGAGAGGTTTGGTCTCCCCCGGAGAGAGCCACAGGTGGCCAAAGCGGAGGAGCCCGACAATCCGGGAGGACAAACAGAAGGAAGGAGCCAGGAAATACCAACACGGAAGGGTCACCCCGGGAGCACTTACCTCCCCCACGGCCTCATGGGCCAAGCCCACTGATTTGGCCAGCTCACAATCGGGTCCGGCCCATTTCAGGATGTTCTGACATGGAGGGAGAGAAAGCCACAGTCAAACGAGCCACCTGGGTCCCTTTCCCCACTTCTCCTAGGCAAGGAGGGACCCTGGAGCTGAGCATCCGTTCACAGAGGGAGCCAGGTAACACCTGGGTGCAGGGCTGGGCTTCACAAATTTTAGCAACGGGTTCTCTGCCCGGCTGCTGCGTGTGGGTGTGGCCATGGCGGGCGTGGCCTATTGCGGTCTCCTGCACCATGGCAGAAGGGGTGTTTTTGCTCTCCCCGCGCTCTGGATCGATCCTGTGATCAGTTACAGAGGCCTTCAGGAAAGCCTTGCCGGCTGCAGAAGAAATGGGCCGGCAAGGCAGGTGTCGGGGTGCGTGAGGCCTGGCTGCAACTGTCCGAAGGTAAGTAGTAGGGCAGCTCCACCATCCACCATCCCCACCCTAGCTTAATTTTTACCCATGCACCCTGGAGTCGGCGGCATCTTAATTAGGGCTTATATTGGGCGCATGTGTAAAAATCAAGCTAGGACTTATTATCGGGGTATGTCATCTTTTTGGGGAAACAGGTAGTAAGTGAAATAAGCATCCCTCCTCCTCCCCTCACCCACCTGTAGTAGGATTTTGAGCCGAGTGATCCTCTGGAAAGGCAACACCAGGAAAGCTTTCAAGGGCTGCCTCTTGCAGATCGGCTGCTCCTCCAGCGTGCGCAGGACCTGTAGGAAGCGGCTGTTCCCCTTCCTGGCTTGGTGGAGGGAAGAAAGAAACGTTTTCAGGAGGTCCTCAGGGCACCGACGCTTGCCCCCAATTGACCAGAGCTGAGGAAGGCTAGGCTTAAGGTGGACGTAGAGTGGGAGGTAAGGAGGACTCCCTTGAACCCATCCCGGCCAACTTCCCGTGTGAATCTATGGAACGAGTCAAGGGGATGCTTGGCCTAGAGCAGCGGGCTACCGATGGACCGGTCCCTGGCTGCAGCCAGCGAACCCCGACTCTTCCGTCCGCGGGGTGGACACGCTGCCTCCCCTCCGCTCCTCACATCAGCCGTTGCATGAGCTGCTCCTGATACATCTGGTTGGTGACGTAGGGGACGTAAGCCCGGTGGAAAGCAGGGCAGTTTTTCAGGACCACTTCCCCGAGACCTGACAAGAAGACGTCCTGATCCAGGTGATCCTCCAGCTGCAGCAGAAACCTGCAGGGGGCAGAGAGGAGGAGGAGGAGGAGGAGGAGGAAGAGGAGCGTGTTGGATGCCCCGCAGGTGACTGTCCTGGGAGGCTTCCGAAGGCCTTGGCGGGCTAATGAAGAGGAGCCAAAGAGGGAGAGGAACAGAGGACCACCCTACCTCTCACTGGTGTCCTTGACTTGCGAGAGATTGGAAAACAGCTGCTGCACTTGGGCCCCTGTGACAGCTCCGCGCAAGGCGGGAGACAGCTGGAAGTGGAAGACGGCCACCCGGAGACTGCGCAAGTAGGAGGCCTCGGAAGTGAGCACCTCGAAAATGGCCTGCCACGGAGACAAAGGCAGATGGGTTGCCGGGAGCGGAAACGAATCTTGGCAAACCCAGGGATCAATCCTACGGTGCCTGTCAAATCAAGGCTGCGGGGAGCGATTGGATTCCCTAAAGGAAAGCACAGCTTCTCCCAAAACAAAACCGCTGCCCTCTTTTGCAGTCAATTCTGCGTAGACAGCCCAGGTCAACGTCATTTGCGGTATCGTAAGAGCTCTTGAAAGGGACGCAGTGGCTCGTGGGCTAAGATGCTGAGCTTGTCGATCAGAAAGGCCGGCAGTTCGGCCGTTTGAATCCCTTGCACTGTGTAATGGAGGGAGCTCCCATTCCTTGTCCCATCTTCTGCCAACGGAGCAGTTTGAAAGCATGTAAAAATGCAAGTAGACTAGGGACCCCTTTGGTGGGAAGGGAACAGCGTTCCGTGCACCTTCGGGGTTTAGTCATGCCGGCCACATGACCACGGAGACGTCTTCGGACAGTTCTGGCTCTACGGCTTTGTAATGAAGATGAGCACCGCCCCCCTAGAGTCAGAAATGACTACGTATTGTGCGAGGGAAATCTTTACTTTTAAGAGCTCTTTGCCTACATGCCATGAGGAAAGTTTGTTTTGGGGTTTTCTCTCGTAAGCTTAACGAGAACCTTCTGGGTCACAGGACATGGCCAAAATTATTTCCACATGCCACTTAAACTCCAGAGCAATGCAGTGTTGAAAAATATTTAAAGTTAAACCTTAACTAGTTATACTTTTGGACAGGCAAAATGGTGCCTATCTCTCTCACTCATGGTTTAAAATCAGCGCGTGCCCTTAAAAAGGGCCAATTCTAGGATTCTGCAAAGCACAGCAATTATCTTCCTCCCATAGGGTTGCTCTAAAGCAAGGGGTCTTCCAACTTGGAAAGTTTAAGACATGTGGACTTCAACTCCCAGAATTCCTGAGCTATCATGACTGGAGGAGGAATTCTGGGAGTGGAAGTCCACAAGTCTTAAAGCTGTCAAGTTTGAAGACCCCTAGCAAACTGTGGACAAAAGGCAGTTATTAATTTAAGACTTCTCCTTCCTTGCTTTCTTCTCTCCGTCAGGGCTTGAATCTGCTCCGTTGTCCCAATGGTCCAGGTTTTGCCTCCTGCCTACAACCCTCACAGAACCCTCTGCTGCTGCCATTCCCCGCGATACGCGTTTCCCGGGTACCTCCTGTAGGTGGCGCTGCTGCGACGGGAGGCCCTCCAGCAGCCCTCTGCTTTTCACCTCCGGGATCTCTTGCCACAAGGAGAAGCTGTAATCGCGCTGGGGGGAGAGCGAGGCCGCCCCTAGCAGGGCGGAGGAGAGCAGGGTGGCGGTGGAGAGGCCGGCACCCACCGGGAGAGCCCGGGGCTGCTGCCCTGGCGCCTTCAGCCGGTTCATCCCAGGGTTTTGATAGAGGGGCTCTGCGTGGAAAAGTGGGACAGAGGGGAGGTGCTCAATCCAGCACCCCAAAACCAGTGGCTGTTCCCTTCATCTGGCAGCTCTGTGCATGTGCACACTGGGAACAGGCTCCAGCTGTTCTTCTGCCTCGCTGATGTCTGACTCCGAAGGCAGCTGATAATTGTCGGACGGCCCTGGCTTCATCTCTGCCTCCGACGCAGATCCCTCGTCAGAGCCTTCCCCAGACTCCAGGGCTGGCCCAACCTGTCTTCCTCCCCAACCTCCTCACCGTCCGAGTCTCCTCACTGTCGGGCCACAACACCCCCCCCCCCCCCCCCCCCCGAGAAAACCCCGGGGCGAAGACTCATTTCCATACTGTATTTTGATTTGCTCTGCTGATGGTCCACTTCCTTCGTCTCTTTTCCAGAGCTTCTCCAGAGTGTTCTAGAAGCAAGAGAGAGAGAGAGAGAGAGAGATTGGGGAGAAGTTGGCTCTCTTCGTTGCCTCTTCTGTGCTATCTTTTGGTAGTTTTGCAAAGTGCCCTCGAATTCTCTTTGGTTAAAAGATGAAAAGCCGCTCCTTAGCGCTGTGTTGTTGTTTTGCAACGATCTCAAGAGACGTAGCGATGAATTGCATAGGGAGAAGAGTACTGCTGAAACGCCTTTTTTTAAAAGTAAATGTTATGAAAGATTTACAATTTTAAAAGCAAATCATATTTACAATTTTTGCAATACTTTGTGACATCAGCTTTTCCATATTCGTTTACATACAGTATGTATGTGTGTGTATGTATATACACACACAAATATACATACATACACATGTACATCAATTACATTTACATTGTCTTTTATTCTTCCTTCTCCTGCAATTCTATCATAAGTTTGTTCATTTCTGCACAATCCATAATTATTATTTTTTTATTATCTGTGGGACTACTCTCTGTTTTCCACTTTTGAGCATAGGTCATTCTAGCTGCTGTCAATATATGTATTGTTATGTATTCAATTTCTTTCCCATAATCACTTTTGATTATCCCTAATTGGAACATTTCAGGTTGAAGTTCTGTTTCCCCCCCACCCCCCCAGTTATTTCTTGCCACCAAATCCTTTTCATCCAAAACAAAATGAAAAGCTTTTTTTTTTTTTTGTATGGAAAGTTTGCTTCAGAGTCTTTGCTGGTGACGAGAACACGGCTGAAGCAGTAATGCAGCAACAATCCGTCAGGCGACAAATCCGAAGTCAGCAACGAGAGGGAAAGCGAGGAACATTGGACAGTAGTGCTTGGGGGGGGGGGGGGTTACTGCCTAAACCTAAGCAAAGCACCTTCTGCATGGTTCTTGGTTCTTCCCCCACCCCCCCAGCCCTGCCCAGGTGAGCCTTGGAGGATACCTGATGCCCGGGTGTAGCCATGGCTGTGCCTTGGCCTCGGGCAGGTTCTCCCGGGGAGTGTGAGGGGCCAGTTCGTGGGATGCCATGGCTTCCTTGTGGGTTCTTGGGCCTCCAAGAGGCCTGGCAGCCGGGGTTGTGGCACAGGAGGACAACTGCCTTTACTGCCCCACCGCCAGATGCTGTCAGTCCAGAAGGAGACACGGAGATGAGGGAGCAAAACACACACGCGCACACACATAAACACACACAGGTTGGGGGAAAGGAAGCTGGTTGGTGCACCTTCGAAAGGCTTGGTTGTCAAAACACACAACTCTCCCCGGAGGGTTTCTCCTTCTGCCACCGACTGCAAAAGCCGCCCTTGTTCGTTTTATTTCGGTGCGTGGAGAAAAGAAGGGCTTAGATCAAATCTGAACGGTTTTTTTTAATTAAGTACCATAAAATACAAAATAAGTAAATAAAAGAACAACAAGGAGGGAAGGGAAAGGGGGGAAAGAGAAGGGAGGAAAGGTAAGGAAAAGCAACTCAAGAGAAGCATTGACTTCAGGAATAAAGCATTAGCATCAAATCACAGCCTTTTGTTTTCCCATAATAATACGAACAAGTCATTTCTTATAACCCCCAAATCGAGGCAGCAGGCACAACCTGCCGATGATCCCCTTTTTTCTTACCTCTTTTCCCTCTCTGGTTCGGACCCTTTGGTGAAACTCCCTCCACTGGATCCTCAACCCTGTAATGACCTATCCCCGAAGGCCTTGGGGGAAGGGAGATTGGAGGAGGTTTCCCCTGGAGGTTGGGCGGGAAGAAGGAGGGAGGCTGCCGTTAGACATCTCAGTAGCTCTGCTATACCGATGAAATGCCCCTCTCTCCCCCCCCCCTCACTGCAAATATGTCCCTGGGCCCAGGGATGCGGCTGCTGGGGGGTTTGCAGGGGTTCGGGAGGGCCTGTAAGTGCAGGGCAGAGGCTTGGGGAGGCTGGAAACGAGAAGAGGACGCTTATAGTCAACATATATATATATGCCTTCTATTGTCCTCTTTTAAGAATAATCATCTTAACCACTGACTAGGACAAAGGTCTTCAAACTTGACAGCTTGAAGACTTGTGGACTTCAACTCCCAGAATTCCTGAGCTAAACATGACCGGAGGAGGAATTCTGGGAGTGGAAGTCCACAAGTCTTCAAGCTGTCAAGTTTGAAGATCCCTGGACTAGAACTTAGCCATTTCAATGGATCAATCAATCAGAATAGAGCTGGAAGGGACCTCGGAGGTCTTCTAGTCCAACCCCCCTAGTCAAGCAGGAGACCCTAGACTATTTCAATCAATCAATCAGAATAGAGCTGGAAGGGACCTTGGAGGTCATCTGTTCCAACCCCCTGCTCAAGCAGGAGGCCCTAGACCAAGGGTCTTCAAACTTGGCAAGCTTAAGACTTGTGGACTTCAACTCCCAGAATTCCTGAGCTAACATGACTGGAGGAGGAATTCTGGGAGTTGAAGTCCACAAGCTTAAATGCTGTCAAGTTTGAAGACCCCTGCTCTATCTTCTATCTGTATCTATCTACTATCTACCTATCTATCTACCTACCTACCTACCTACCTACCTATCTATCTATCTATCTATCTATCTACCTACCTACCTACCTACCTACCTACCTACCTAATCCAAGGGTCTTCAAACTTGGCAAGTTTAAGACTTGTGGACTTCAACTCCCAGAATCCCTGAGCTAACATGACTGGAGGAGGAATTCTGGGAGTTGAAGTCCACAAGTCTTAAAACCGTCAGGTTTGAAGATCCCTGGACTAGAACTTAGGCCAGTGGTGGCTAACCTTTTTGGGCTCCTGTGCTGAAAGTTGTGCGTTCCTTCACGCTCGCATGCCAGCACCCAGAAGGCAATGCGCACAGCACCCCCACAACCCCTGCGCATGTGTGTGCAATCCCGCTGCTGCTGCCCCCTTAGCTGCACTGTGTGCCTCCCAACTGGTTTTCGGCCTGTTTGAGGCCTTTTCCTCCCGGAGGCTCGAGGGAAACCTCTGCAGCCTTGGGAGGCCGAAAAACGGGCCCATTTCATCAGTTCTGGTATTTCCGGAAGGCCCGTTTTTCAGCCTCCTGAGGCTTCAGAGGCTTCCCTCGAGCCTCTGGGAGGCCGAAAATCAGCTGGAAGGTGTGCACATGCGCAGTGTGCAGGTAAATTTGGCCATAGGTTCGCCATCACGGACTTAGGCACTTCTTCCATATATAAGACAGCTGTTAGTTCACAAACTAGCCACCAGAGGGCACCCTTTGCTTACTGATGAATGGTCTTAATAGTTCCTTTCAGCCTGCTATGCCCAAAAGAGCCACCGGAGGGCGCCACTTGCTTCCCCAGCACTATGAATGGTCTTAATGGTCCCTTTTCAGCCTGCTGTGCCC